TCAAAAAGGAATACATATGGATTCTCGAGGCTATTCACTCATGGATATGGTCAATGGATGTCAATGAATGTCAATGATGCTTTAAAGATCCTAGCAACAGTCGTGCATCACTGCATCACACGTTTCCTGAAAACTGGGTTTTCCACTTTGGAACATACGAAGGTGTCAAGTTGGCCTTGCACGAGGTTACAGCGAAGGGTCTTGAAATGGCAAATGTCTTTCACCAAATTTGGGCCAAGCAAAACAAAGCAGCTGCAGCAAATGAAAATAGACTCGACAGTGTCCGACAGTGCCTTAGACCAAAAGAGACCGCTGACATCGTATATCGAAAACGCTACATTACATCAAATATCTAAAGATTTTTCATGCGTTTCAGAGGATCTAAGTTTGTTTTGTGAGATACATTCCCACTCATCCAACTTCCCGTGCACGGTTGCCTGACAGTGGGCCCTCAATGTTTCGGAGGAGATATCGCTCCTCAAGCCTGAAGTAGAGGTGCCCAAAGGATTCAAGCAAGAAAGGGTTTGTGTGTTTCCACTGTTGCAGTTTCTTAAACTCCCCCAACCACGATCTTTGCCTTCTCGAAGGCTTACGAAGGCCACCAACTCCGCCGGTTCTCTAGAAGCCACCACAGCTACCTGCTGAAGCTGCTGAAGCTTGGATAACTTGTGACATCTTGTGACGCTTGGCCTGGCAAAAGCCCGCCTCCTTCAGTGCTGGGCGCCCATCATTTCCGGCTTCCATCCGCTCTTCGACACCACCCTGCCACTCTTCACACTATGGCAAGAGAATCATTGTCATGTGTCCTCTGTTTCCTCTCCTCCGGCTCCATGTATGTAAACCTTGGCCGCGTCCGAGCCATCTGATGTGAGCAACATGCAAACAAAGCTCAACAGGGATGCCTATCCGTCTATTTTTAGAAGAATTTGAATGACAATCCGAGCTCCAAACCTCCTGAGGACTGCCTCGACTTCTTCAGGCTCTACCCGCACTCCACGGATTTTCACCTGCAAACCAATACCCTGAAGCAGCCCGCGCAATCAATTATGTTTCTGCAACTCTACATGTGACGCTGCACCTGGCGATCCACTCGGCCAATCACCTGATGAAACAAAGTGGATCAGGAAAAGCTTTCAAGTCATTCAACTCTTTCAGCATTCAGTTCGCCGTTGGAGTTGGATGAAAAGGTTCAGGCACTCCCAGCCTCCAGCTGTCCAGCGGTCCATTTTCCCATGTCACCTGTTCTGTAGAGCCGTCCAAAGGCCTAACAAAGGTTGGCTGCAGAATCAACCAACCAAAACATCTTCATAAATAGATCGACGCACTGCCCAAGGCCTGTGTATCGACCCACTTTTGCTCGGACAGCTCAGGGTGCTTCCAATAGCCTTTCGTCAACACACGGGGCTTAGTTTCGTTACCGCAGGTCTCTGAGGCAAAGACAGGCAGCCAGCACGCCACCAAAGCAAATCTCACCTGCCTGCCCATGTTTGTTCTTGTCATAATTACAGAAGTATCATATAATCGCTTACTTCTTCAGACTACTGACTGTATACATCTGTATACTGTATGACCCATGGAGCATGCTTGGGTCATCTTGGTCAAAGAACACAGACAGCCCATCAGATTGCCGCAAGCGCGCTCGCTGTCTTTTTCCACAAACGTTGGACGCCATCCAGGGCACACAAAAAATCCCAGCAGTGGCACGCCTGGGCGATGGAAGCTGGCGGGTCTGGTAGTCTCGTAGTTTTGGTTTTGTAGTGTGTCCACGGCCGAACACAGTTCTGAGAAACTAATGGTTGCGTAGTCAACTAGTGTCAAGTGAGTATGGCCGGATTATATATTTATGGCTTGCAAGCAACTCACATGTCCAGCAGCAAACATGACAAAACAGGGCTTCCACACTCAATCAGCTTTAGATCGAGTTTGATGCGTCGAAGTTTTGGAATCCCACCTTCGTCTTTTTGCAGTCTGCCATGGTGCTTTGGCCAAAGGGTTGCCAATCGTCCTGCACTGCAGCAGTTCGAGGGCGCGGACACCTGGGAAGGAACCAAAGCAGTCTTTACTCTTGCTTGGAAGTCAGTCTTGCTTAAAAGATTTTCTGGGCGGACTAGCCATGTTTGGGACATTAAATGCAAAGAGATGTAGTATTGAAACACAACCCAACACCCTATGGGCTGCCAGCCTATCTGAGGTGTCGTAGAAAATCAAGCTGTAGCGGACTCCTGTGTAGGTCCTTACCCAATGCACATATCGCCCATCAATGCATGCAATCCGGTCACGAGTGTCAATGACCGCAATCGACAGCGGGTCTTCCTCAATACATAGCTCTCCTCCACAAAAGTCTCCCAAAGAAACTGCAAACTGGAAGCTCTTGTCTTGTTCATCAACATGCGGAGAGGAAATGAAGTTCTTTGTGACCGCAACACCAGAGTAGTAGAAATTGGGATCTGCCCAGCGCATTAGCTCAGCACACAAATTGCGGAGGGGGCCATAACAGTCCTTGACATTGCTGTGAAGCACCAAGTAGCGTTCGCTTGTTAGACAGGGCCTTTGGTTTTTTGCAGGCCAGCGCAAAGACTGTAATTCCTTCAAGAGTCGTACAGACAAATCATTGGGAAGCTTAATTCCCTTTGTACAGCGAGCCTTACGGGGATGAGACGCTAACAAGCCTGCTGCAGCTTCCAGAACTGTCTGATCCTCGACGATCGCCCCCACCCGTCGTTGCAGCTCTGACAAAGGAAGTGGGCGCAGCTGTTCTATGGGTGAAGGATCCTTGGGCACCGCAGCTGCCGAGTCTCCATGTTCAGCCTGACGTGCACGAAGTATGAAGGACTCCACAGAGGCACATTGTGCGCCCAGCGCGTCTTCGGCAGAGATATGCAAACCATCCAAGACTTTTCTAGCCAGGTCAGCTTCCTCTGCATCACGGTAGCAAACAATCGCATAGCCAAGACTCTTCCCTTGCGCATTCTTGTACTGCCGTTTCACCACTCGCTTTACCCAAGCTTGCTGAACTCCTGCGGGACTAAAGCGATACAGCATCTGTCCAATCCGTCGGCGCTGTGCCCAAGCAGTGGGAAGATCTCCGAGCCACAGGCAAGCCTCTGCATCAGCATGGCGAGCTGGGCCAAGACGTTTCAATGGATATCTCTTCCCTAACCCTGGCGGCTTTGCCACCTTTGTTGCATTGACCTTCACCTTCTTGGCCATTTTGTCCTCATCAGCATTCAGCGGGTCGAAGCAATCAAGAGCACATGGGCCAGGCTGGCGAAGATGCTTGAAGAGCTGGTTACGAGAGCGGAAGCGCTTCCGGCACATCTCGCACATCACGTGCCCCGAGACCTCCTTCGGGTCCTCTGGCAATCTTCGGGGGCCCAGATTCCAGGTTTTCTTTTTGTCGTCAATCAGCACGCCAGCTGCTACGAGATCTCTGAAGATCGAATCGGCCTCTTCCCACTTTCTTTGTGTACGAAAATGGTGCCTCTCTTCGAGCAAACTGGAGATCAGCCCTTCATCAACCACCACAGGGTCGGTGCAATCATTGGCAACACGCTCATAAGCTGGCATGCTCTGGCAAAGTTGCGTAGTTGCCTCTTCTTGGATACCATGGTGAGAGCTTCACTGCTACTCATTGACCAGGACTACACTCCCGAAAACTAACATGGAAGTGGAAAACCAGCTGTTTGTAGTGGAAAATGGTCTTCCAAGGGGCTATTCTCCACTTCCATGTTAGTTCCAGGGAGTGTATTTAAATCTTGTGCTGTGAGCTGACCCCTGAGGTGACACGCACTGACGCTTGAATCGAAGAATGGTTACGGTTACGGCTACAACACCCTACAACTGCAGCGATGTGCCTGATGGAGCCCAAAACAGAGATAGCAGCTGTTGCAACAACTGTCGCTTCAATTAAATACTTTAAGCAACTAAGCAACACTCTTGCAAAACAAACAATTTATTAATATTTCTTTCTTGCCTCACCATCCGCCACTGGTACTAGGACAGAATTCTCCTGCCATGACCCTCAAACAAGTCGTCTCACAACAAAAAAGAAAACATTGCCAAACAGGGCGCTCCTCCCGCATGACGTACACGGTGGAATGTGGTTGTGGCCTCCCACAAGGTGCCTGACAAACCCAAATGCTTGATTGCATCTCAAAACTGATGACATGTGTTGCCACCTTTGATGGGAAGATCTGTGTGTCAATGCCACTGGAGGGCACCGTGTAAACCTGCGAAGGTCAGCGCAAGTTTCTTGATGTCCTTTGCAGTTAGTGTCTAAAAGCTCTAAAACCCTCGCTCTACTGCGTCCTTGCATGTATCATTCCCTAGATGCTCAAGCTAGCTTCACGGTTACACGGCTCCTCGCCCCTTCTTCAAACAGTAGTCACATACTAGATCATACTAGTAATAGTAGTCACTAGTGACAACAAATATCCAAAGAATTCAGGGTTTGGACATTGCCTCTACTTTAGCAGCTCTACTGTCCGTCAAACGGCTTCGAAACAAGCCAAGGAGCTGTGCAGCTGCTCTCTGACGCGCCATAAAAGTTGTGCAGCGAAGCGGCCTTTCGGCTGATCAAACACAATAACAAACAAACCTTTAAGAATATTTGAAAAGACAAACCTTTCAGTGGACAAACAAGTCTTATCAAGTTGTTGGGTTTCTGCAGATTCTGCCAAAGCAACGAGCCCAATGTTTGTGAGGGGGGCAGGAAAATGATTCGAAACACATCTCAGCCTCCAATCCTCGTGTTTTCACAAGTCCTTGACAGCACTTTTGTATGGCTGAGACCATCACCCATGCTTTCGATGTGCAACCAAGTTTCTGTTGGCTAAGGCACATCCCAGAGGTTCTCCCACTGTCACGATGTGCTTGACCTCGTTCAGCTGGACTGTGCTCCAGCATAAACCCTATATTACTATAAGCTATATCATGGGGACTGCAAATGGAGTGCGATTGTAATTGGAGTTCAGCAGCTGAGTCGAAAAGATTTGCTTTTTCATGGGTGTTCGGCTGCCCTTGCATTTCCGCATAACCAAGACCCACTGGACTAGAGCAAATTATATAATCACGTCACCCATCGTGTGGGAAACCTGCTGGCCAAGCACCATCACTGGCGGCACACCTCTTTTGTCGCTTGAGGCTCAAATCTCATCAATGCACACTGCCGTACTGATCCCAGCGACCTTTGGGAGGGGGAAGAGCATGATCCAAATAACCTTAGCCGCACAGAGCTAATCTGGAAAACATCCAAGAATAGCCAAGGGAGGACAGCTGGTTTAAAGCAGCTATAGGCTGTGATACCATCCCAAACTCCTTGTATGTTCAATCAATCAATCAATCAATCTATCTATCTATCTATCCATCAACTATTGACTCAAAAAAGGCAGCCTGGCAGCTTCTCGTGGGCTCTGGAACTTTGCCAGGCCAGTAGTTGATCTTCTCGAAAATGCACAATGCAGCAGGTGCCAGCCACAAGCGGACCACATATACATCCAAGGCCACGCCAAAGCAGTATAAGCAGCCTAATCTCCAACAGAATGCAAAAAATGGATGATCAAATCTCCTCAAACAGTAGTCAAAGTCCGATTAGAGGCTTCAGTGCCTGCAGAGCTCTCTATTCTCCCCCCCTTATCCCATCAAAAGGAGTGTGTTGAGCACTCAGCAAAGGTACCGATCTGAGCAATTACGGGGACTGTCGAGAGAAAGACGAAGAAGAAGCTCACCACCATGATCGTGCCAGCAAGACTGATGAGTGGTCCTGTCTCCTCCAAGGCCATTCGCACTGCAGAGGCATTGTCGAAGCCTTGCAGCCTCCGCTCATAGACACGTGCAAACAAAAAGAGGTCATAGTCCATAGCCAAGGCAAAGAGAAATCCGCTTGTGGAGTAAATCATGGTCCACTTCAGTCCGCCTGGATCAACCATTTGTGAAGTCTATGTTTGGTTCTACAGAAAGAAAAATTTTACCAGCGTAGACCCCAAACAGAGCAATGTTCAAAAATGAGATCTCCGAACAGTATGGCCAGCAGTATTTCCTAGAGGAAGAAAACTATAGTCCACCATGTAGACGCACATACAAGATTCAAAGGGAAAACATTAAAATTCTGCTTTTCATTGACGTTACAATGGGACGCCGTACAAGGGCTAAAACATGAAATTTATGGATCCAGGTTGTGACATATGTTGCCCCCCTTGTAAACACGAATGCGCAGACCCAATCAAAATGAAGATTTCCTCAGAGCACGGACACTGCGCTTGGTTTTTTCCTTCCTACGCAGTTGCCTTCTTTGGCTTAGCCATGTGCTGCATTGACCTGTGTTTGCCATAGGTCGCAACACTTGACGTAAGAGTGTGTGATTGCTTCGTTGATCATCCGCACGAAAGTAGCTGCCAACCTAAACAGCAAATCGAGCAACGCAACACTTGTGGTGAAAATATGTGAAAATAGTGTATTTCGATGCAGCCAATGCAGCTTTCAAACTCGAAACACCAGAAATACAACAGAGCAACGACCTTGTGCGCATCAAAAAATTAATCGGCCCAGCATCCAGCCAAGCCCGGGGATACAAAGCATCCAGACAGGCCATGGGATGGAAGACAAGTGAGCTTACTGGGAGCCAAGTCGAGACATGTGGGAGACAAGTGTGAAATCATGCGGCCAGAGATCCAGAGCTTACTGGGAGACAAGTGGGAGACAAGTGTGAAATCATGCGGCCAGAGCACTCAGAGCATCCAGAGCTTACTGGGAGACAAATGGGAGACAAATGGCAGACAAGTGTGAAATCATGCGGCCAGAGCACTATAGAGCATCCAGAGCTTACTGGGAGACAAGTGGGAGACAAGTCTGAAATCATGCGGCCAGAGCACTCAAAGCATCCAGAGCTTACTGGGAGACAAATGGGAGACAAATGGAAGACAAGTATGAAATCATGCGGCCAGAGCACTGAGAGCATTCAGAGCTTACTGGGAAACAAGTATAAAATCATGCGGCCAGCGCGCTCAGAGCATCCAGAGCTTACTGGGAGACAAGTGGGAGACAAATGGGACGCAAGTATAAAATCACGCGGCCAGAGCACCGAGAGCATCCAGAGCTTACTGGGAGACAAGTGGGAGACAAATGGGAGACAAGTATAAAATCATGCGGCCAGCGCGCACCGAGAGCATCCAGAGCTTACTGGGAGACAAGTGGGAGACAAGTGTGAAATCATGCGGCCAAGCACTCAGAGCATCCAGAGCTTACTGGGAGACAAGTGGGAGACAAATGGGAGACAAGCCTGAATCATGCGGCCAGAGCACTGAGAGCATCAAGAGCTTACTGGGAGACAACTGGGAGACAAGTGGGAGACAAATGGGAGACAAATGGGAGACAAGTATAAAATCATGCGGCCAGAGCACTGGGAGACAACTGGGAGACAAGTGGGAGACAATTGGGAGATAAATGGGAGACAAATGGGAGACAAGTATAAAATCACGCGGCTAAAGCACTCAGAGCATCCAGAGCTTACTGGGAGACAAGTGGGAGACAAGTGTGAAATCATGCAGCCAGAGCACTCAGAGCATCCAGAGCTTACTCGGAGACAAGTGGGAGACAAATGGAAGACAAGTATGAAATCATGCGGCCAGAGCACT